TTCAGAACTGATCATGTTGTTGCTCCACAAAGTGTTGTGGCAGTGAGGGTTGATCATCGGTTGTGACGGTGTAGTTGACAAAGGAAGAACCAGAAGAGGAACCACCATTGGGGTTGTGAAAATGTGGGTGACCTGGGTATCGTGGATGCCGAAGAGGATAGCCATGTTTGCTATAGCAAACGTCAACGGTGTGTCATGTTCTCTTACAATACACGCACACCTTTGAAGATCTGGGACCACCGCGAGTCTTACCAGTAAAGGAACGTGTGTCAGTGGCGTTAACTGAAGAAGAGAACTTGGAATCGATATTATTGGCAAATTCATTGGGCGCATCAAGAGGTGAAACAGCAGCCGCATGTTGTCGCTCATTCTAAATGACCATGGAAAAGACCTTGTTAACAAAGGGTAGAGGATCCATTAGCAAGATTTGAGAGCGAACAACATGAAATCTATCATCAAGGCCCTTGAGAAATCGGATGATAAAATCCTGCTGATGGTAAAGACGAGCTTGACAATTACAAGGTGTAAGAGGATGGAAATTGACAAGCTCTTCCCAAGAGGCTTTCAGAGTAGTAAAGAAATATGTGACAAAAAGAGAGCCTTGCTTCAAGGCATATATCTCTTCCTAGAGCTCTGCAATGCGCAAAAGGTCGCTTTGAGAAAAATGTTCTCTTAAATCATTCCAAACATCAACAACATGGTCCAAATAGATGATGCTTTGAGCAATCGAAGGAGAGACGAAATTTATGAGTCATGACATTAACAAGGTGTTGAAATGCTCCCATGAAGGATAGGTAGGATCATCAGGAGTTGGGATAGGAATGGCACCAGTGAGGAAGCCGATTTTGTTTTTAGAGGTGAGGGCCATGCGAAGTAAACGAGATCAAGAGTGGTAGTTACCACCAGAGAGGATAGGTGAGACTAAGACAGAGGAAGGGTTCTCACTAGGGTGTATGTAGAAAGGACTAGAAGGGTTTTGGCTAGGATCATTAAAAGGATTAAAAGGAGGTGAGTCTGAGACTTGCTCACTGTGAGAGGACCGTGATTCAGGGGTCTCTGCCATGGTAGCTGGAAATGGATATCAGCAGAGCTCCAGGTGGGAGCTCTGATACCATAAAAGGGAAAAGGACAAGTGTGTAAAGACATAATTGAATGATGAAATATTTCATTGTATTGATTATCCCAATGTGGGCAATATATATACAAGATGAGATCCTATTGGATAAGCATCAGCAAGGACAACAGAAAAGAAAAAAAAACAAATAAAAGAATAAAGAAATATTGCTACAAAATATAGCTAATACTGTTCTAGAATCTACTGATATTTACAACAAATATAACAAAAAAGAAGTTAAGAATATGCTGAAGAATGAGGAATGGATTGAACCAAGAAAGCATTATGCTTCTTCTGTTTTAACATATATATGAATGGATGTTGCACCAAAGGAATGAGTGTCCATGTGCATAGGGATATACAATCAGGAATGAGATCATTGAGAGAATTATAGCTGGCACTTGTGAGGAAAAAAGTTTGATTAAGATGAGTTACCCATATAGAAAAACTGCTGACATAAACCTAGTATAAACAAGGGGAAAAACATTCATAAGAAATAAGTCAATTTTTGTTGTAATAGCTAGAGTTGCATTTGGAGAAAGAGCTAAGTGTGGTTACTGGGTATGGAATTTATTTCAATGTATATTCACTTGCTTGTACCACCATTCATAGACCAAGAAAATCATAGCAGTGAACTTGACATAACTGCCAGTGTCAACCCAAAATCTGAAATTAAATGTTATGAGCGGTTCCTTCACTTTTAATTATATTGTTCTCACTTTGTCTTGTTCTTGTTTAATTAATGTGGTACTTTTTTGTTGACACCCACGGTCCACTCACACTTGAATTCCCAACACAAAAGTTAATTCTCAGGGCCTAGGATAGAATTTGTGCTGTTGTGAGCATCATGAATAGAGAGAATGTTGATCCTTATTAAGCCTTATACTGGGTTCTCACATGGTGCATATTAATGACAATGTCATGTCAGTTTCAAATTTTATTAACTTTTTGAAAGAACAATTTTTTGAAAAAAAAAAAATTCAAATTTTATTACGGCTTCAGTAAAACTACGAATTGCACGAGCCATTATTGCAGCAGTTTTATGGCTTTTGATGTTAGGATTTTCAATTATGCTAACCAGTTATTCTTATTAACCGCTTCAGAAATTATTGCTCCCTTCCCAATTCCAATTGGTTCCGTTCTAATCTCTCTGACACAATTATCACACTCTTTTATTTTTGGCCTTTTTATTCAAGTGTTTTGCAAATTCTAATGCAGCTTATGTAGCTTTGATTTGCCCTGCAAAATGGAAGCTCTCACACTTTGCTTGGATGTAACAAAAATTGTTCAGTTCAAGGGAAATTGGAACCTTTGGTTTCTAGTAGATATTAATTTAACCAATGCTAATTTGTATATATCATGCATAATTGTATCATGTAGCTTTGTTTCTAATATAAAAAATTGTTCCCCAACTAATGTTTTCTCTTTCCTTGTCTTTCTCCACTCTTATCTCCAACAACAATTCTCTTAACTGATTGTGCTTATGTATATGTGAATAGAAGATAGATTGGATAACAATTTAGGTTTCATATTTCAGATACAACCAATCGGACATTTTCTAAGTCTGTCAAAGGTCAAGCCTGCAAACAAAACAAGATACTGGTTAGAGTTTGGGACTTTTGGTTTCAATCTATATGTTAAAATTTCTATTTTTATTAGGTAATGACTTGTGTTGAGTGGTGATATCTAAAATATGTTTCTAGTATTGCCACATTTCAGATTATGCATCTCAATGATTAATAAGATGCGAGTTAAAGTGAGTGAAGCTGAGAGTGCACAAGCCAGAGCGGTAGCATTAGCAACTGAGCTAGAAAAAAAAAGTTAATATAATGTGTTCACTTGTTACTTATGTAGGATAGTGACTAAGATAGTAAGATGTATTGAGCTTTGTATGCTCTCAACCCTGCCCCTAAATGGTAGACAAAAGGTAAATATAATGTGTTGACTTGTTTGAATGTTATTAAGTTGTAAGGGATAATTTTCGGTTTTAGCAAGTATTTTTCTTATTTGAATTTTTTAGATAAAATTGAAAAGATAGATTATCACGAAAATTTTAAATATCCGATAATTTTTCATTATAAATAGTATAGTTTGGATTTAGAAATGAAAATGGTCAAGTTTGGATAACTTTACACGTTGGCCGAGCATGGTCACTTGGTCAAGTCCTGTGTTTCAATTTATATATATTGTAATTTGTTGTCAATTTTTTTAAAAAACGTTATGGTTTCAATGGCAAATTGACATTCCTTATAAAGACTTTCACTTTGGTGTCAGAGGAGTGCTCCAAAGGTAATTTTTTTCCATTTTTAATTTTATTTAGTTAATAAGTCATGAAATTCATGACATTAACACATCACATCTTTGAAATCATTTGAAAATATATTTAAGTAACTTCTGAAATTTTCAGTACAGGTACTTGCATACACTAGGAATGATGATGGTAAACAAATCGTGCTTGATGGAGAGGTGACAAATGACAAAATTAAGGTACTTTTTTCTCCTGTTTTCCCCGGGCTCTATGTTAATTTTGCTACTATGTCCATAAGGAAGGGCTATCCAAATTAGACAATATATGCCAATAAGGTGAATGCTATTGGTGCTGTTTCTCTAGGATTTTAGTAATAAAATCAATTTCAAGTTCCTTTACCATTGTAATAAAATTGCACTTCTGCCAAAAAGCTTCCTAATATTTTATACAATTTAGGTGGAATCTAGAAAACTGGTCCTAGAAGATGCAGAATTTGACTTGGGAAGGGAACTTGAAGGGCTTGTAGATATGTTTTATGTTCAGTGGATTAACCACCTGAAGGGCTTGTCTTCTTGATGATTTAAGATCCTTTTTGCCTTTTTTTTTTTCTGTTCTACGTGATGTGTGGTGATCTCTCAGTTCCAGAGGCTGTGGGAGCTGTAAAAAACCTCTTTGCACGAAATGCAACCCACTTTTATAAGATTGGATCAGCTAACAATGCTGTTAGTTTACATAATAATTGTTAGGATTTTGGTACTCCTATTTGGTTTCTACTTCAGTCACTGTATATGGCTATATATCAGCAAATGTTGTTTTTTTAATTTCTATTAGTGTTGAAAAAATTTGTTCGAATTCTTTTATTTTTCTTGCCATTAGCAATAACAAGTCGTGTGATCAATAACCCCCAAACCCGTTAATGTTATTTCATTAATGTCTTTTTATGCAAATTTACCTATATAAATTTTCTACAAATTTACCTACAAAAATTTTCCTACAAATTTACTTTTGAATTTTTCTATGGATTTACCTGCGAAAATTTCCCATGAATTTACCTATAAAAATTTTCCTACAAATTTACCTTTGAATTTTCCTATGGATTTACCTACGAAAAATTTCATGTGAATTTACCTACAAAAATTTCCTATAAATTTACCTTTGAATGTTTTCTATGAATTTACCTACGGAAAATTTCCTACGAATTTACTTGTGGATATTTCCTGCGGATTTACATATGAAATGAATTATCCACGAGCATATTTCCTATGGAGAAAAATTTATAAGAAAATTCGTAAGAAATGCGTTTCCTACAAATTTTTAACGAAAATTTATAGAAAAATCTGTAGGAAATGAGGAAAATTTTAGTAATGAGAGGTAGATTCTAAACAATGTTATCAAAATCAGACCGGTTATTAACTCGGTCACACTATTGAGTCAATGGGTTACTGGTTAAACAAATGAGTTATTGATTAAACTGGTTAAACGGGTATAAAAAATATTTCATGTGTAATTAATATATATATATATATAATATTTAAATTTTAAAAAAGAAGTTTGTTTCAGTGATATCTTAATTTTTCCAGTTGCAGTTATTCAGCAGATTCGCCATATATAACATATTGTGTACTAACTATACTAAAGAGCAAGATGGTGTAGTGGTCAAGACACGCCCCTCCATCTCATGCAGTGTCAAGGTGCGGGTTCGAATCCCGCTTGCGCTAACTTTAAAAATTTCCTTAATAGCAGACATGCTCTACTGCTCGCTCATGACCAAACGATCCAAATACCGAATCCAACCGTCATGTAATCCAACCCATGCCAACAATCATTCCTTATATACATCATTTATTTGTCAGAGGGTGAGAAGTCTCATATTCAGCTGAGTTTATCAACCAAATTTATGGTCTTCAATTGGAGCCAATGGAGGAAGCTAGATCATATCATGAAATTTATCAACCAAATTTATCAACCTAATGTCGATGACGGTGCACCAGGAGATGCTCAGGTTCCAAGAGGGGAGGATGCAGCTGAGGTTGGTGATGGTGATGGTGATAGTAGTGGCAACATGACTTTTTAGTAGCTGTGGCACACTTTAGTAGCAGGACTTTGTAGTTTTTTTTTTTCTTGTTTTTCAAATTATGTGACTGAACGTTTAAAATTAACGCTATAGTGTTATCTATATAATGCTCAAGCGTTATAATGCCTTTATTTTTAACTAAAAAAAGTGAATTAACGCTTAAGCATTAAAATAACTCAAACTCACCTATTAAACGAGCTCAAAATGAAAATATGCATTTCTAAGTCTAATAATTTTGTTATTATTATTATGAATGACTAAATAAACATGTAAAAATTATTAAAAATTTGACACCCAATTTCATGTCTACACACACCACCCCACCACAGTATTAGATAGCTAGTTTAAACCATTGCTAGGGTCTCGACACCAGGTTAAATCCCGTAAGTCCCAACTCTTTTAGGACTAGCTCTAACACCATCACACCAAAATCATTTACAATACATTTTTTTAACTCAAAATATCATACATTTTGGTACAAACTTGAAATTCATTTTTCTAAATTTAACTTCTTGAAAACTAAAATCATAAAAACTCATAATCAAACTATTTTAATGGAAAACTAAATTATTGTAAATAATCTTATAAATACTTTCTTCAATTTTTCAAGAATCAACAAGTTATAATACAAGATAACCATGTTTGAAAAGGTTTTAACTTATAAAACTAAATAGAGTTGATGAAAACAAAATAGACAACAATGGTTGGAAAAGAAGCTTTTGTTATTATAACATTAAAACCTTAAAATAGAACATTATCTAAAAATTAATGTAATATTGTATTTTCATAATACTAGTTATATTGGAACTATATAAGTATTTTTGAGACATTAAAGGAATTAAAAGAATTAATCTTTTGACAGTTATCATTAAAATATACAAAGTCATTTTCCTAAATATTATTGAAAATAAGATAGTCCTTATAAAATTATAAAAAAATCAACTTATTATATTAAATTTGAGTTTATGTTATCATAAGATCAAAACCTTATAAACTCAATCACTTTCAAAAGAATATAATCATATCTTTCTAAAGTATTCTAAATTTTCACAAACCAAACACCCTCAAATCACCTTTTTGGAAAACTTAAATCAATGTACATACAAGCTCAACAACTCTAAATTGCTCAACATCAACGAAAAAATATCATATAACAATAAATCTCAAAGTCTTTAGATTAACGATGTGTCTGAAGACAAAGTCATTACTAATGTGGCAATTTCAAAGATTGTCTCATTCTTCACGCAACCTCAAAACATAAATAAGGAAACATAAAAGATCACTTTTTAACTGAAGTTTGAAATAGACACCAAACGAAGAAAGCCTGCGTTGCAAAAACTGCAGATGACAGAACAAAGTTGATATCTCGTACTGTGTCAGAATTGTATCTCACAACGGGATGAATAGAATTAAATGCTATCTCTCAACGGACTTCTCAAAGTTTCAAATCTATAAATACCTGAGATCTATGCGAGAGAGAGAGAGAGAGCGTGGTAAATAACTGGCAAAAATATTGGCCAAGATCCCAACAAAAATCAAAAAGAAAATACTTAAGAAGCAAGTATGTTATCATATTCTATATAGATCTCCTACTCTGATATTTCATGTACAAATATACTTTCATATCCAGCGTTAGATCATTGTTGATTCTTTGTACACAACATTGAACGAAGAACTGCATGTTTTGAGTTCATCATATTCTCTGTAAACACCTTGAGTGTGGTAAGAGCCTGAAGAGGCTTGGTAAGAAAGAATACTTGTTGTAAGAGCCTGAAGAGGCTTGGTAAGAAAGAATACTTGTTGTAAGAGCCTGAAGAGGCTTGGTAAGAAATAATACTTGTAATATGTTCAGATTAGTGGAAAATCCAGTAGCGTGTTGGCTCTAGGATTGGACGTAGCTCACAAGTGGAGTGGGTGAACCAGGATAAATCTGGCTGAGTGTTTCTCTTACTCAACTCTTTACGTTTGATTTCAACTAACAAGAAGAGGGTTTTTGAACTGGGTTTTTATAAGCTTTTGTTAAAATTCAATTTCCAAAATTGTTTCAAAAGTCCTGTTTGAAAATTTTCATACAAGGAACTAAACTTTAGACAGCTCTCAAAACCTGTCTGAAACATCTCAAAACTCATATTACTAAAAGGTTTCCCAAAAACATTAAATTTTATAAAAATACTATTCAACCCCCCTTCTAGTGTTGCCTATATGTTCCTACAGTTGGTATCAGAGCTCAGCCTCGGGTTGAGAACTTGACCATGTTGAGGAAGAAGATCCAAGATGGAAACCTCTATAAGCACGAGCCATTATATCACAGAAGGAGCATTTGTGACAAGGTCTCCAGCATTTAATGGTGTTGATTACCATTACTAGAGAGATTGTATGAAACTGTTCATTAAGAGTAGCAACATTGATCTTTGGGACATAGTCACTGATGGTGATTATATTCCCATGCATGGTGGACAGCCCATACCTAAGTTTGATTGGACCAGTGAACAGAAAGTTAGAGTACAGCTTAATGCCAAAGCCAAACTCTAAGTGGTGTGCTCTTTGAACAGACATGAATATGAGAAAGTTCATGGATGCAACACAATGCCAAGGAAATCTGGGACACATTGACCTCAACTCATGAGAGTATTGAAAATGACAAACAACCCAATATCAGGATGCTTGTTAACAAATATGAGATGTTCAAGATGCTTGTTAACCATTGACCAAATGTTTGGTAGGTTTTAAACAATAACAAATGAACTCAAGTCCTTAGGAAGAATATACGAATCTGGAGATTATAATCAAAAGATTCTTATAAGCTTACCCAAGGCTTGGAGACCCAAAGTTACTACTATTCAGGAGGCCAAGAATCTTAATGCCCTGAAGACAGAAGAACTGTTGGAATCTCTCAAAGCTCATGAGTTAGAACTTGGTAAGGATGCATCATTGGCACTGAACACCGAGGCCAACCAAATTAGGCATGGGACCATGAAAGCCATGCAAACTAAAGATTCTATAGATGGTTCTTATGATGATAATCACACCTTGCTGAAGAAAGAAATCGTAAGGAACTTCAGAAGAGAGAAGCCATGACAACATGGGAAGATCTAGACGAAACCACTACGGAAGAGGAAGAAGAGTCAGCTGAAGAATCCAATCCCTGTCTGATGGCAAGTCTATCATCTCAAAGTAATTCAGACTCTGAGTTAAGATCCCTATCTGATCTTGACTTACAAGAGAAATCTAATGATCTACTGCAAAGTTCAAAAGAACTCTTCCTAAAATACAAGGAACTTTTAAAAGCATACAAAGAAATGTGTAACAAGAGTGGGGCTCTTGAGAAAGAAAACCCTGTACTAAAAAATGAGTGTGAGAACTATAAAAGGGGTGATTCTGAAAACCTTTCTGAAGAGTTTGAAAAACTTTAGAAGAAGGTTAAGGAGCTCATCTTAGACCTTGCCAACTTTGTTAAGGGAACTGATGAAAGCCTAAACAAATTGTTGGGGTTTCAGAAAATTTCCAATAACAAATTTGGGCTTGGATACTCTAACAGTGAATCATCAGATACCTATAAAATTAAAGTTAAATTCAATAAGGTTTTTGAGAAAGGTAAAAGGTGTTATCACTTTAGCAAGCCTGGACATCAAATGTCAAAGTGCAAGCACAAAGAGAAGCCAACACCTACAGCTAACCTGGAAGGACCCAAAGAAAAGTGGGTACCAAAATTCTTAAATGTTTCTGTTGCAAGTACACTCTACAGAACAAAAGAAGCAGCACAATTAGCATATGGACAATCGCTAGTTGCCAACAGACCAAAGATGGTTGTTCCAAAACCATAGACTCCAAGATGATGGAGAAATCACAGTTGATTGGCACAACAAAAAGGAAAATCACTGGTTATTGGTAAAACGTAGATTAAAATACTATATCAGAACCTTCTTGCATTGTCTGAAATATGAGTGTCTGAAATTGCATGTTTGTCTGAAAATGTATGCATGTCTGAAAGTCTGTTTCTGAACTTGATATAATTGTCTGAAGTATCATTTGAACGACGTAGATGTCTGAAACATTTGAAATTCAACTTTTTCATAAAGTAGACCTTTGCACTTTGCACGATCTCCGAGGTCTATGCAATCATTCCATAACTGTCAGGGAAGTTTGTACCCTATATATTTGGAAAGAGAAACTGACTAGGGCACTTCTATCACCTGCTCATTGCATTTCCTTCTCAAAACTTCCTTTGCAAGTAAAGTCGTGTGCTCTCTACAACTTTTCGTGTTTTCAATGGCGTCTCAAAAGTCTCAGAAGACCCAAGAACATGTTGGTGGTACCATTGTGAAAAGCAAAGATATAAATGTTCATAACCTAAAAGATGAAGGAGTAGGCTGAATTTGAAGCAGTAGGATGGATTCCATATTTCAGCAAAGTTGACAGTGCATGGTCAGAAGCTGGTGTGTTGGAATTTTGGAAGAATACCAAAGTTGAGTTCAGTAAGGACATCCCTGGGTATCGCTCAGTAAGAAGTAGAATGATGGTGGTCAATATCTTCGTGGATGATTCAGTTATTCCCACTATTATTGGAGTGTAAACTGCAGGAGAAGTTTTCTTCATTAGATGGGAGAAAAGTTATGAACGGTACAAGAAGTTCAACCCTATGTT